TTCTTTTTTTGGCTGGGGCTGGGTTTGAACCCACCACCTCCAGTATATGGGGCCAGCACCCTACTCCTTTGATCCACAGGCGCCACCCTCCCAAGGGAGTTTCTTGATCTCCATGACCACCCTAACCCCATGATTTTAGAATAAGTAGTATAAGGCCCTTCTCATTATCATAATGAAAGATTTTTATTAAGTGTCTCTGATGCTTTGGTGGGGGCTATACTCGTCTTAGTTAAACCCCCTACCATTTAGCTCATGATGGAACTGCTAAGATATTTTTCTGATATGCTTAGTATCCAAGGGTGTCCAACCTGTAGCCCTCGTGAGGATTATTTAAGGACTATTTTGCTTATATGTGGTGTTAGATATTATAAGAATTATTCACAGACTTTTGTTTTTGCTCATCAGCTTTTGTTAAGTGTTTGTGTATTTAATGTGTGGCTCAAGACAATTTCAATGTGTGGCAGAGAAAAAAAAAGGTTTGATATCTGTGATAGACTTTTGCAAAAATATTAAATTTTGTTTTTGAGTCTTTAACTTTAGAAAAATTAAAAAATCTCAAGGAAATTTAAATAGCTAATATTTCTTGAAACTTATATATCCAGGCATTCTTTTACATTCTTTATAGTCATATCATTTGTTCCTCACAGTAGCCCTGTAAAATAGGTGGTTGTGTTTTTAAGTCAAGACTTTGAATTTTAAGTGCCAAAAAATGGGGTGGAAGAAGGTATGTTGGTTTATGTAGCCAAACTTCTAGAAGGCTATGGGCTAAGATCATAGAAGAATAGAATCTGAGGCTTGCCTATATCAGGACTCTTCTTTCTTCCTCTTCTCTACTTCCTTTTTAGATTGATTTTATTCTTTCTGTACCTAGAATGTAATTTTTGTCGGTAGAGGTCAGTCTCAGAGTTAGATAATACATAGTAGATGTTTAGTTGATGTATGTTAAATGAATGACAACTTTACTGCAGAAGAGGGCAGGGTGGGTAGTGTGGGGTATGCTCAGCCTTCCTCATCAGTTCCTTTTTAATAGATAGCAGTGAGAGACTCCGGCTGTATTACATAATCCATTTTACTAGGGGATTTTTTGACAGGTAGCCTCTAAAAAGGGGTCCTCAAACTTTTTAAACAGGGGGCCAGTTCACTGTCCCTCAGACCATTGGAGGGCCGGATTGCGGGCCCCGGGACGAGTCAGCTGCTAAGCAGGACAGGCAGCAGTGGCAAAAACACCTGGCGGGCTGGATAAATGTCCTAGGCGGGCTGCATGTGGCCCACGGGCCGTAGTTTGAGGACGCCTGCTCTAAAAGAAGCCCGTGATTTGAAGGAACACTTCCCCGAACAAGAGGTGCTATTGTGCCCAAACACCACAGATGTCCTCAATATTCCATTTTATAGATGTAGAAATAGAGTGGTTCAAAGAAGGTAAACAATTGACCAAAGTCACAGATAGAAACTGGTAAAGTCTAGATTCAAGCCTGATTTTATTTATTTGTTAATTGTTTTGAAAATGTTTATGGATCTATAAATCCCCATAAATATTTATGGTGTACATGTGATATTTTGGCTTAAAAATTTTTTTAATTTTAATATGTTTAGAGGGTATGAATTGAATTGTATTACATGTGTATATTGTGTAGTGGTAGAGTCTGGGCTTTTGGTGTACCCATCACTGAGTACTGTCCATTGTATCCCATACGTAATTTTTCATCCCTACCCCATCCCACCCTTCCCTCATTTGAGTTGCTAATGTTCATTATATCATTCTGTGTGCTCTTGGGTAGCCATAGTTTAGCTCTCACTTGTAAGTGAGAACATATGTCATTTGTTTTTCTGTCCTGGGGTTACTTTATTTAGGAAATTGGCCTCCAGTTCCATCCAAGTCACTATAAAAGCTAGAGTTTCATTTTTTTCTTATCACTGAGTAGTAGTACTCCATGGTGTATATATACACCATATTTTCTTAATCTAGTCATCAGCTGATGGCACCTACATTCCATATCTTTGTGACTGTGAATTGTGCTGTGATAAACATACAAGTATAGGTATCTTTTTGATCTGATTTTTTTTCTTCTGGGTAGGTATCTAGTGGTGGGATTGCAGGATCAAATGGTAGATGTACATTTAGTTCTTTGACAAACCTCCATACTAATCTTCATAGAAATTGTATTAATTTATATTCCCACAAAGGGTGTATAAGTGTTCCCTTTTTACCATATCCCTGCTAACACCTCTTATTTTTTTGCTTTTTCTTAACTTGATTTTTGTTTTGAGACAGAGTATCACTATGCTGCTCTCAGTAGAGTACTGTGGTGTCACAGCTCACAGCAACCTCAAACTCCTGGGCTTAAGCGATTCTCTTTGCCTCAGCCTTCCAAGTAGCTAGAACTACAGATTCCTGCCACAATGCCTGGCTTTTTTTTTTTTTTTTTGCTTGCAGTTGTTTAGCTGTTGTTTTAGTTGGCCGAGGCTGGGTTCGAACCCACTACTCTTCATGTGTGTAGCTGGTGCCGTAACCACTGTGCTATGGGTGCTGAGCCTCTTAACTTGATTTTAATAGGCTCTGTGGCTTATATTTTTTCCACTTTGCCACCACATCACATTGGCAAAAGGAGCTCAGTGAAATGAGGGTTGGAAATGGAGCAGGACAGCTTAGCATGGTGATGTTCTTTCTTCAGGAAATGCTTGATCACTTTAGACTTCTTCATGATTGATGTTGGTGTTCACAGATGCTGAATTGTTATATGTCTTTGAGCTTGTTAGTAACTCCAGATAGGAGATGAAAAGAGCCAGAGAAAAGTTGTTTTCTTTTCTTAGTTATTTTGCAAAGACAAATGTGAAATATGAAATATTTTAGATTATGAAAATCATTTAAATAAGAGTTTCTTTTTTCTTTTTGCTGTGCGATTTTACCTTCTCTATTTAAAAAATATATGTGTAAGAATAAAAGTTAATATCCTCAGGAACCCACTGAATATGAATCACATTATCCATGTTTTATACCAAGTAGCAATTCATTTCTTTCTTCTTCTGTCACCAAGACTGGCATGTAGTAGTATCATCATAGCTCACTATAGCATCAAACTCCAAGGCTCATGTGATCCTCTTGCCTCAGCCTTGTGAGTAGCTAGAACTAAGGACACTTGCCACTATGTCTAGAAAATATTTTTGTGGAGATGGGATCTCACTGTGTTGCCCAGGCTTGTCTCAAATTCCTGGCCACAAGTGATCATCCCACCTCTGCTTCCCAAAGTGCTGGGATTACAGGAATAAGATACTGCTTCCAGCCTGTTCATGTCTTTTAAAGTGATAAAAATGAAACATTGAAAGAAGTGAAATTATAGGTACTAAAAGGAATGAGCCTCATTTATAAAATTATCAGTGACGTTTTGGCATGTTATTTAAAAACAACCTCAGTTTGCTTTAAAAAACAGTTACTTCAAGCCATGTTTGGTGGTATGTGCCTGTAGTTCCAGCTTCTTGGGGGGGCTGAGGTAGAGAATTGAGTAAGCCCAAGAGTTTGAGTCTAACCTGGGCAACATGGTCAGACCCTGTCTCTTTAGAAAAATAAATAGTTATTTTAATAGCCAAGTAGTTGCCCGCCTTTTTCTGTCTGTACTTCACTAAGTAGTAACACTAAGAGCATTTCACTGTGGCATTGAGCCTTGGTAGTGGTTGTTGGTGTTTATACCCTGGAGGGTAGTATGTAGTTTGAAAAACCTCAGAGGTCTGCTAGTTATTTGGTACTATCTAATTTAGAACTCAAAATGACCTTTATTATTATTATTATTATTGTTATTAGCACATTGCTTCTGTTTTGTAGTTTTGTTTTATTCTAAACCAGGATAGCTTAAACAGACTTTTAAAAGTTCAGTCACTTGTAGCCCAATTGAAATGTAACCTAAAAACTATTAATTAATTAATTTTTTTGAGACAGAGTCTCACTATGTCGCCCTCAGTAGAGTGCCGTAGTGTCACAGTTCACAGTGACCTCAAACTCTTGAGCTTAAGCAATTCTCTTGCCTCAGACTCCCAAATAGCTGGGACTACAGGTGTCCACCACAACACCTGGCTATTTTTTTTGGCAGATGTCATTGTTGTCTAGCAGACCAGGACTGGGTTTCAACCCACCTGCCTTGGTGTATGTGGCCAGTGCCCTAACCACTGAGCTCTGGGCACCGAGCCGCTAAAAACATTTAAAAGCAAATTTAATTTATTAAACTTGTAATAATTTTTTAATGTATTTTTAATTTTATAGAAGTGGCAATTTTGCAATAAACTAAATTATCTGTTTTTTTTTTTTTTTGGTACAACAGAGTGTTCTATCATTTAGAGCTGTAAAATAATAAGTTGTGTAAGTTTCTAGTTTTTTTTTTTTAGTATTTCATTTTTCCCTGAAAATGTCTATGGTTTTCTAGGACTAGCTTTCTTTCTAGATATCTCTGGTAGGTAGGTTGTAGAATTATGGTGTCTTCCTGATAGATCTGAATTCTTAGATTTGCTAGTGTTGTGTTAAATGACTATGTATCCATCCTTGGTATTTATACTAAGTTCCCTAGGACATCTGTGGCCCAAGTGAATCTGAACAAGGAAACTGGTCTATATGCTTATCTCCAGGGAGAACTGGAGTGCTACCCTGGGGTTTGGGAAGGTAAGGAAGGGTTTAATTGTAGTTTTGGCACCAGTTTACCATTTTACTGTTAGGCACATACATATAGTTGGGACCAGATCTAGAATCTGAGCCTACTAAATCTATCGCTGTCACCAGTTTCATGACTTTAAGTGATGGGCCACTTCTTAGACTTCTGTAGTATGAGTTAGGTATTCCTTCTTTGTGTTTCCTTAGAAAGCCTCCCTCCATATCATATCCTATGCCCCCATATTGATTTTTATTTGTTTGTAATCAGACAGTTGAATGAAGTCTGACCAAGTAAGTCTTTGGAATGTCCATTTGTCAAGGAAGAAATCTAAATGATACTTTTTCTTTTTTTCTTTTTTTAAAAAAGAGGTCATAATGCAAGTCTTTGTGATCTAAGACAAGAACAAAACAGAACAAAAACCAAACAAGCAGGAGCTTGAATACTATTATTAAAAGTAAATATGGAAAATGAACCAGACCATGAAAATGTGGAACAGAACCTCTGTGCCAAGACTACTGAAGAAGAACTGAATAAATCTTTCAATCTAGAGGCTTCACTTTCAAAATTCTCCTATATAGATCTGGACAAGGAACTAGAATTCAAAAATGACCTGGTAAAAATTTCACCTTTTGTTAAGTGATGATGTTTAACAAAAGCATTGGTTAGAGTATGCTTTATGACTCAAAGACTATTTATTAGTCTATCATCTTTGCATGGGGTGATAGAAGTCTGTATACAGTTTTATGAGATAATATCACTCTTCATTTGTATTATCTGTTACAGTTTATGAAACATTTTAATTCATGCTGTCATTTGAGCTTTACAGCTCTTACTCTAATAATCATCTTATAGGTGAAGACACTGGCATGCAGCTATATGTTAAATGACTTAAGGTCACAGAGCTAGTGGTATGTTAGAATTCTTAACTTGCACAGTGACTTTTTTCCCCCTGTGAATTGAACATTATGTTAGTTGGTTTCTGTGAGAACATTTCATGACAGAGTTCATCTCTCACTATAATTTATAATTAAGAAATGTGATATCAGACCATTGTTTTTTGCTTATGACTTATGTCTAAACTTAAAACATTAGGAGTTGTCATGAGATACACTGTTTTGTCATTTGTGAGAAAGCAGATGCCAAAGTCCTTCAGTAACAGCTTTCTCGAAAGGGATGTCAGGATTGTGCATCAGTGCCTATGTGTCTTGGTAGTCACTGAAGAGAAACTGTTCTGTAGTCTTTTTTTTTTTTTTTTTTTTGAGACAGAGCCTCAAGCTATCCCCCTGGGTAAAGTGCCATGGCATCACAGCTCACAGCAACCTCCAACTCCTGGGCTCAAGTGAGGCTCCTGCCTCAGCCTCCCAAGTAGCTGGGACCACAGGTGCCCACCACAACGCCCGGCCATTTTTTGGTTGCAGCCATCATTGTTGTTTGGCGGGCCCGGGCTGGGGATTCGAACCCGCCACCTTAGGTGTATGTGGCTGGCGCCTTAGCCGCATGAGCCACAGGCGCTGAGCGTGTTCTGTAGTCTTTTAACCTGGTCCTTGATTCCATGGATTTTTGAGTTGACTGTTTGATGTTTGCTCGTAAGTTTGTCTTTTAGTTGATGATGGTTCTAAAATTAAAACACTCTTAAAACTATACAAGGAAAGGCATCATTGTGAGAACCTTACTTTCTTTTCTTTGTTTAGATTGATGACAAGGAGTTTGATATTCCTCAAGTTGATACTCCTCCAACATTGGAAAGCATATTAAATGAGGTAGGTAAATATTAGTGATCATTCTGTGGCATCAACTTTAATATCTTTTGGGCAAGTTGTAGTATGTATATCTAGATATGCATTATCCAGTATGATAGTCACTGATCGCATGTATCAACACACTTATAGGCTATTGATGGGAGTCTAGACTAGTACACCTTTTGTGGAAAGTTATATGGCAATACCTCAAAGAACTAAAAGTAGACCTATCATTTGATCCAGCAGTCCCACTATTGGGTGTTTATTCAAAGAAAAAAGTCATTTCATCAAGCAGACATGTGCACTCAAGTGTTTATAGCAGCACAGTTCACAATTCCAAAGATGTGGAACCAACCCAAGTGCTTATCCGTACATGAGTGGACTAGTAGAATGTGATGTGTGTGTATAAATATGTACACACACACACACACACACACACCATGTAGTACTACTCAGCCATAAAAAAAAATGGTGAACTAATATCTTTTGTAACAACCTGGATGATGTAACCGAAGATCATTCTTATTAAGTGAAGTTTCCCAGAAGTGGAAAAAATGTTTTCACTATTAAATTGGAACCAATTAATCAATGCTTATGTGCACAGTTAGTAGTAAAACTCAACAGAAAACAAGAGGTGGGAGGAGACACAGGGAGGGGGAAGTTCATACCTGACAGGTATAATGCATACTACCTGGGTGAGGAGGGGCACACTTGTAACTTAAACTGTGCAAAAGAAATTCATGTAATCAAAACATTTGTATCCTTGTAATATTCAAAAATTAAAAATAAATAAAAAAATAAAATTTAAGTTAATTACAGTTAAAGAGAGATTCAATTCCTCAGTTGCATAAGGTACATTTCAAGTGCTTGGTAGCCACATGTGGCTAGTGGTTGCTGTGGTGGACAGCATAGCTACAGAGTATTTCCATCATTGTAGAAAGTTCTAGTGGATTGCACTGGTCTAGACTGTGAGCTTCTCAAGGCGGAAACCATGTCTTATTCATCTTTAATCTCTGTGCCCAGCACGAAGCCTAATACTTGCTAGACTTAAAAAACGTATTAAGTGAATTGAAATACTAAGTTAGTATCACTTTTAAGGTTTGTATTATGTGTTGATAATGATTGTTTGACTCGCCAGTGGTATTCAAATAGCTCATCCTCTGATACTAGGGAATGTCTTGTGGCCTTATAATGAGCTTCAGTACTCTTCTACATGAAGAAAAGCAATGATACCAGTATATGGTTTTTATGCGAGTATATGGTTGGTGAAGTGTGTCGGTTTTATGTGTACCCTTCGTCTGCTGCCAGCTCTTCACCTCAGTCTTCCTGGTTCTTTAAACACTTGCTTGTGATTTCTCTGGGAGAACTTAGCTTCTAATTTGAGACCTTTAAAATGTATAGATTTATTTCAGTTCCATAGTTGTTTTCCAAAAGATAAAGTTGCAGAGGTTTCTCAACAGAAATGCCCACCTTGGTGGGTATACTCCTAGTGAGTTGGGCTTCTTTGACTGTACTTTCAGGAGATACACAACGCTTTATGGGATGCAAACGATTTCTATGTGAATTGTATCTTTTATTTTTCTTGTGTGGCTTTGATTTCTTATTTTTTATATCAGTTGGATATTGCTATTACGTTGAATGTATTGTAACTTTGAATGTGTTTTAAGTTAAAAATGTTCCGTATGTTCTATATTAAGACTTAAGCACTTTTGGTTTTTGACAAAAAAAGGCTTTGGTCTGTGAAAGAATATCCTGTTGTAGTGAAATGTCTTTTATTTATTACTTTCTAATATAGAGGAAATCTTTCACTAGAGATGAGGAGATTATTTTTAGTCAATCTTATTAAAATGATCTTAATCACATCCTCATTTCAATTATCTTATTAAATATGAAGTAAAAATCTTAGAAGACTGTGTAAAAAGTCCTATTTGTATATCTTTATATTATATAGGCAAAATACTGCTCGGGAATGAGCTATAGTTCATAATGAAGGAAAACTATTTTTGTACTATTTTCTTATCTAAGAGCAATAGTAAATACAGTCATTAGTGGTTTACTGAGAAGATAATACTGTCGTCATCCTTAGTAGTTATTTGAGTGGCTAGTGTATCTGGGTCACGATGTAGACACTGGGGTTATAAAGTGCTTTCTTTGTACTTGAGAGAGAAATGGTACTGGGAATCGGCCAGCCATTATGCCTTCAGGGAGCTAGGCAGGCAGTAAGTGAAAGGAAAAGTATTTAAATTGTAGCTCATTATGAAGACCGTAACATGGGTGTGGAGAGTATTAAAGAAATGATTTTTTAAAATGAAAAGGGCAGAAGTAGAAAGTGTAAATAAGACCTTGCTCTAGGATATGCATAATAGATACATATATTGTATAATGTTCATTATAAAATCAATCTGAAGGGAGGCTAGGAAGAAATGGACATTCAAGACATTTGAAAAAATGGAAATTTAGAGATTACTGAGACATCCTGGATCTCAGAATTGAAGGCTTGACGTAATGTTACTAGCTCTTGTCATCCTTTGAAACTGTGCTGCCTCTGAAATTTTTAATTTTGAAATTCCATTTTCTAATGATAATCTCCTCCCACCCCAGCCCCCATTTCCTTACTTCCATTAAACCTGTTCTTTGACTTCATCAAGACCAAATCTATTGATTTTTCGTAGTCTTCTAGTCTCTGAGAGTATTCAGAGACTACATAGTTTACCTCAGTCTTGCTATTGGACTGTGCAGCCAGAAATGTCTTTTGAACTTTTCATTGAGGTATAATGTACATACAGATATGTGTACAAGTCATAAGCGTATGGCATGGGAACAACCTGTGCAACCCAGAAGCTCCTCTTCTGCCCCTTCAGTGCCCAACCCCAGGGAAATTACTATTAGAACTTTTATCAGCATTGATTAGTTTTCCTGCTTTGAACTTTATGTAAAGAGGATTATACAGTATGTACTCTTATGTGTCTGCCTTGTTTCTCTTAAAATTATGTTTTTAGATTTATTCATACTTTATTTTTTCTATAATTTTTCATTTATTCTCATTGCTATATAAAATTCTTTATGAAAATACCATATTTATTCATTCTACTATTGGTAGACATTTATATCTCTCTCGCTCTCCCTCCTCCCCTTCCTCCTCACTTCCTCCCCCTCCCCCTCCCCCCCAATACACAAACACACACACGTCAGTAGAAATGTGATAAGATTGTATATACTGTACACATCAGTTTGGGGAAAACTTATACATGTAGTTGTTCTGTATAGTAGTTTTAAATTCAGTTTTGGCATCAGTTCTTTTCTTTTACTTATTTTATAAGCCTGGCTTACCTCATCTGATCTATTTTCCTTAATTATATCCCCAGGCTGCTCGAGAAAATCAAGTGACATTTTGTTGACTCTTGCCTAAGACCTTGATGTTGCAGTTCTTATTTCTGAATTATTTCCTTTCCTGTTTCCTGCAGCAATTGTTCCAATATTTTACAACTCTCAAGTAACGTAATGTCTCCTTGCCAGTCCTATCTCTGTTCTCAGAACATGTGTGAAGGTATCTGAAAAGCAGTTGTAAATTTGGACCCACTTCAAGAGAAATGTTGATGCTAAAGACACAGACTTTGGAGTCTGGCATAACATGGTCCTTAAAGCCATCTGTATAGATGAGCTCACTCAAATGGGGAGTGTGTGAAGTAAGAAGAGAAGAGAGCTAAGAATATATAATCCTGGGGGACGCTAGCATTTAAAGGTTGGGCTGAGGAGAAGCTAGCAGAGCACAGGACTGATAAGAGGGGACATATGTTGGAGGAGAACTAGGACAGAGATGTACTGAAAACCAAGGGAAGGGAAAGTTTCAAGGCGTAGGGAGTTTGTCTTTTCTTTTTCATTTGTTAGTGTTTAATGAACCTTCCTCCATGTGGCTTCAAGCCACCAAGGCACAAGTCCTTCTAACACCCTCAGTCTTCTCTTCAGCTCTTCTGCTGAAGAATTTGGCCTTCACAATGGCCATCTGCTTTGGGAGCTTTTCCTCCCCCGGAACCTTGTAGCAGCCCAAATGTGCTACATCCATGATGGGAGCAGCCCCAGGCTTGTTTTTGGCAACATTTAACGGTGTCTGCACACTGACTGATGTCCATAGTTTATCAAGGTTGACAGCTGGGCAAAAGCTCCGTTTCCTCTTTAAGTGGTAATGCCTCGTACCAATTTCCCCAGTGTAACCTGGGTGATACTTGCTGACGTTGATGCTGTGTGATGCATGCCAGCACCATACCCCAGTCTGCCAGCCGGGTGCTTTGGCCCTTGCTGATGCAGCCATGGCTGTGGCTCATGTGGCCCCGAGGCTTCCAGTCTTCCTCAGTCTGGATGGCATATTAGTGACTGAGGCGAAAGAGAAGTAGGGAATCTTCCACAGGGTTAAATGATGCATAGGGGACAGAGCTTTATGCTCGGCTGTCATGCTAACTGAAAATAGACCAGTAAGTAGATTTGACTAGTAAATTTGGCAAGGTTTGGACAGTACCTTGTAATAAGTAGAAAAAATGGAGATAATGAGTATAGATTACTCTCTTAAGGACAATGATTAGAAGTGGTAAGGAAGAAGTTAGTCGAGCTGAAAGAGAAGACAGTTCTTTAGTGTCTGTCACTCAGAACCGCCTTGTACAATCCTGCTTTATCAGCTTTGTCTACTTTCTCATCTCAACTAGGAGTATCACTTTTTGCCTAGTCATTCAAGCTGGAAACCTTGGAGTCTTCTTTGACGTCTCCCTTACCTCCCCCACCTGCATGCCCCAAACTCTCAGACATTTAAATGGTTACCAAGGAATTTTGCTTTTATCTCAGTCATGTCTCTTCATCATTTCCTTTCTTGACTTCTGTAGCATTCCTAGGCTAGGGTCTTGATACAGCCCTGTTACTGGTACTTGAGTCTTATCCTCTGCTCTCACCCATTGTTCATACAGCCCTATTCATCTTTCTGAAACATGGTTCCCATCATGTCTCCCACTTCATGCCTTCTACGTGTAGCATACTAATCCATGAAGTGAGTACTGATTATGCATGTGTCTAACATTGTACTAGGTACCAGGGGTGCAGAGGTGGACAAGGTAGACGTGGCCCTGCCTCCAGATAGCTTAATGGATAATCATCTTCGGATTCTACTCATATACTCCAGCCATTTTGGACTAATCCATATTATGAAATCGTCATATCTACCCATGCTCTTTCTTACCTAGAATGCCTTCCTTCTGTCTGCAGGTTACATTTTTCACAGTAGACTATTTATAGTCAGGTGGTACTTTTTTTTCTTCTCTTTAGCCATTCACTGTTAACTATTAAAGCACCTGTACAAGTTTGAATTTTAAGAAATATTCTATAGTTAACATAATCTGTGTAATGCTCCTGATTCTTTATGCTACAAGAAGTTTTTGCATTGACCTCTTTATAAAGAGGGTGATGTATCTAGAGTTGAAATTTAACTCTGGTAATTCTGTACTATGCATCTCTGGTCAATAGGAATATGCAGAATAGAGATGAAAAGCAGAAATAGGCACATGAGTACTTTGGAGAAACTCATTACTGCCTACCTGACTTGTTTCAGAGAGTATTTGGAATTTTGATATATTGGTTTATCTTTCTCCAATTTAGACTGATGATGAAGATGAATCTTTTATTCTTGAGGATCCTACATTGTTAAACATTGATACTATTGATTCTCACTCATATGATACTTCATCTGTGGCAAGCTCAGACAGTGGTGACAGGACCAACTTAAAAAGGTCAGTATTCATGTCAGTCACATTTGTACATGGTTGAGATATTTAATGTAAGTATGTTTTGATAGTACTGGGTGGTCTATTAAAGCCTTGCATAGGAGTAGAAGGCCCACTTGTATGGAAATAATATACTTATTAGAGCTTAAAGATGTTGACACTATTGAGGGAGGAGATAAAAAGTGAGTAGTGTGACCCCTGTCTTCCACAGCCCCAGTAGGAAGCCATAATCATAGCCAGGGATTCCCAGAAATGGTAGAGCCTTGGAGGGAGCATAGATCAAATCTGCTTGTCTGTGGTGGGAACATGGAGCTTGGTTCACCACCCTTCTGTTTCCTGCACGTCCTGTCCTCTAAGCTCAGCTCTGCCGTTCCTGCATTCTCCTGGAGTGGGCTCAGGGGAGAATCACAAAGATGAGTAAAGATTTTGGGAAAGGACTTCTGACCCCAAATAACTTCAATTTTGGCTGCTTTTCACCTTCCAGATTTTTTGGAGAGAACATAAAAAGAGAAGTGGAAGAACCATAATATAAATATTTTATTGAATTCACATGTAACTTTAATATTGATAAAGTTATCTGTGTATTTTTCCTCTTTCTTAAATTTTGCCTGTTTCAGTGCTGTCTTTAGGTTGTTATCTCTTGTGAGATAGGGGCCATTGCTGAATATGTTAACTTGTTCAGCATGGTGTCCTACAAATAGATAACTTAAATGTTTTTGATTATCTGGTCACTACTTTTTTATTTTTATTTTTTTGTTTTTATTAAATCGTAACTGTGTACGTTGATGCATTTATGAGGTTCAGTGTACTGATTTGATATACAATGTGAAATGCTTACATTGAACTGATTAGCATCACAGTTACATTCTTTTCTTCATAGTCTTGAAATGTATCATTGCACTGTGCACGTTAGATGTGGTCCCCCCAAATACCCTCCCTCCTCCTGCCTCCCACCTCCCCTCCCCTCTCTCTCCTCTTCCCTTTTACTTTCTGGACTATAGTTATGTTTTACCATTCATATGAATGTGTAGGTGCTTATATATTGATTTCATAGACTTATTTAAAGATACAGCGTTATCTTGTGGCCTGCATAGTGAAGTCAGAACTCCTTTGCGTGGCATCCTGTCTGGACCCCGCTTACCATTTTGACCTGATATCTAAGCTCTCCCACGCCAGTCTTCCCAGTCCATGCCTTTTGTGTATTCACTGTCCCCCAGACACACTGTGTACCTTCACATCTTCATGTTGCTGCTCATGCTTTTTGCTTCACAGACTTAAGTCAAGTTAAACATTTTCTCTTTATTATAGCTATCCCTGATAACCCCCAAATAAATAGAATCTAAACTTGTCTTCATTTGCATTTATATAGTACTTTATATGTATTTTCAGTCTAACATTTGTCCTTTAAGAGTTAGTTGTTAGTCCCTCTAGCTAGGCTGTGAGATCCCTGATTGTAGGTGATTTCCTTATTTTGTATCCCCCAGAGCACACTTTTAGTCATACAGAGTAAGTGCTCAGTAATGTTTGGTAAATGTTTAAGAATTACTTCTTGCATGATGATGAGAAGAGAGGTGAAAGGAGCCCTCCATAGGAGCAGCAGGGAGTGAGTAAAGAATGGGGAACTTCAGAGAGTGGTTTAAGAATGAGAGGGTGGCCATAGACAGGAGGAGGCAAGACGATAAGTAGATGTGGCCATGCAGGGCAGAAGGAGGGCTCTGTATGCACCTTCTGGAGAATAGGAGAACTTTGTATTACTTAAGGTGAGCAAGGAATAGTTGGAATCAGTGACAAAGGAATTGGGGTTAGTTTTTTTTTTTTTTTAGAGACAGAGTCTTACTTTGTTGCCCTTGGTAGAGTGCCATGGCGTGACACAGGTCACAGCAACCTCCAACTCCTGGGCATGGGCGATTCTCTTGCCTCAGCCTCCCGAGTAGCTGGGACTACAGGCGCCCGCTACAACGCCTGGCTATTTTTTGGTTGCAGTTCAGCCAGGGCCAGGTTTGAACCTGCCACCCTCGGTATATGGGGCCGGCGCCCTACTCACTGAGCCACAGGAGCCGCCTGGAATTGTGGTTTTATTCATTTTACTGTGCTTCTTCGAGGTTCAGAGTGGCTTTAGTACAGCATTTTAATTTGAGACTTTTAGATTTTTCTATACTTCTTTTTAAAACTGAGCTAAGAAATTATATACACTGTTATTTTCTTTTTGTCTGTTTTTGAATGTATTCATTTCTTTCTTTCTTTCTTTCTTTTTTTTTTTTTTAGGAAGAAGAAATTACCTGATTCTTTTTCACTCCATGGATCAGTTATGCGACATTCACTTTTGAAGGGAATTTCTGCCCAGATAGTATCTGCAGCTGTAAGTATTTTGTACTTTCCCCCCAGCTTTATAACTTGCAATGGCATAATGAAGTAGGAATGAGCATAAAACAAAGCACAGCACTTCTCTTGGCCCAAGGCTTAAGAAAAATAGAATCTGGCTTTCATGGTTTTTGTGTGATTATTTTTGACTCATAAGACATGGCTATACATCTTGACATAGAAATTAGTGCAGCCATGAAAATAAAGGTCTGCTCAAAGTCTTGGGTGTGCCTAAATGAAATATGGCAGCAAGCCTGAAATAAACACTATCTGCCTTTTCTTTAAATTCCTTTTCAGTGTAGTTGCCGTCTTGTGTATTTGATTGAGGTAGAGTGCTTGTGTTTTTAGTCTTTTAATATGGAGAAGTGATTGATCAGAATCTTTTACAACTGAATGTTCCTTTATAATTCACAAAAGTTTTCATGTACCTTATTACTCTAATTTTTACAATTTTGAAAGTAGGTAAAGCCATGTTCTATTTTACAAATGAGAAGATAGGCTCACAGAGGTGATATCAACTTGTCTTACATCGTTGGTTAGGAAGTAACAGGGCAATTACTCAAAATTGGGGTTTCTGGCTCCAAGTCTAGTGCCTCTTTGATGTGAAAGGAGGTCGCCTGGGTGAATGTATCCAATGTATAATTGCTTGGAACATGATGTCTGTGACCTTTTTTGAAAATGATTTTGAGCACTGAGTTACTGTTAAAAATATTTAATAGTCCATCGAGTTGGTAGACACTGATCAGACTTTTCCTTTGGCCTTAACACCCATAGTTTCATGTAATCTTTGAATTCTGGTTTTCTGAATTAAATATACAAATCCTGTATGTAATAATAATGACAAGATCTTTGGTCTGTCCTTAAGTTCTTTCTATGCAGTTTAATTGGTATTTTACATATTCTGTTTGGAAAAGAAATAAAGGTTTTGATTTTTCATGAGGGGCACTGTAGGAGTGCCTTAGTTCACCACAATTGCACTGTAGTTTTTAGGCTTATCTGAGAAGGATCTTAGTGCAGATACCAAAGCAAACAAACAAAAAAACGGATTCACTATGGACAGTGGGTATATCCTGACCCAACCATATGTTGTGAAGTCAGTTTGAATGGAAAGCTGGGCAAGCAGCGGGGGAGACCTGGGCAATTGTCCTTCCTCTTTTAGGTGGAGAGTAATTCATATTTGCTAGAATGGGAACCACCTGTAGAGGATTACATTTCCATGACGTTTTCTGAATTTAATCCTTATGTAGGTGATGAAATTCATTCCTTTCAAAATCATCAAGATGAACCAGAACAGTCATTTGACCCACCTGTGCAGTTTTAAAAATATTTTGAATAATGGAGACTGAACTAAAACTCAGACTCTGAACAATGATTAGATAAATCTGTTATTTAAAAGGGTTTCTCCTTCTTCTTGAAGAGGAGAGGAAAATTCTAATAAATACCAGAGTGTTTGCATTCTGTTTTTATTTCATTGCTATGGCTGAGCTCCTTTGGTATGTTAAAATGAAAACTGCTTTTCCTGTGACAGTCATCACACACTGCCTTCCTTTTTTTTTTATGATTACCAGCTCAATTTAAGTTGTATGCTTTTCTGTGATGGTTGGTTTATTAACATGTAAAGCCAGTTGTATTTTTGGGTGTTTCTCCTGAATAATTTGTTCAGTAGTACCTGCAGCCATGTGGTTAGTGATGTCATTAAGGCTGCTTAGGGCTTGGGTCATTACAGTTTTGGAGTCTATACTTAGAAACATTAAGGAGAGATGAGATATTTTTGTGTGTTTACATTGGGCGAGGGTCTTGCTTTGTCACCCACGGTGGAATACAATAGTATAATCATAGTTTACTGCAGCCTCAAACTCCTGGGTTCAAGCAGTCCTGCCTCAGCCTCCCAAATAGCCAGGACTACAGGCACATGCCACCATGCCCAGATAATTTTTCTTATTTTTTGTAGAGACAAGCTGTTGCTATGTTGTCTAGGCTGGTATCAAATGGCTGGCTGAAGCCTCCTCAAATACTGGCATTATAGGTGAGAGCCACCATACCCAGCTGAGATGAAATTTTTGGAATTGTAAAACTCATGGTTTGATTTTGGGCTCCTCCTCAAAGAAACACGACATATGACTATTTTAAAATAATTGAAATTAACTTTTTAAGGATCTATATCAATTTCATGATCAACCTTAACATGCTAGAGATGCTGGGTTTTTTTTGTTTGTTTGTTTTTTTCAAAATGTGTCCATTGCATATGACTGTCTTGTGTGTTTATTAAAATGCAGGTTCCTAGGGCTCACCCCAGACATGCTGTCAGAATCTTTAGCCTTGTAGTATAGAGATATGCATTTTAATGGGCATTCTAGATGATTCTAAAGCACTCTGACCTTTGAGAACTACTACCTTCATATGTTGCAACACTAGTACTAAAATTCTATAATCTATAAAATGCTTTCAAACATCTGTGATTTTTTAGCTTTTGAAGTCAGGTAACTTCTGATTTCATTTTTCAGGTTCTATTTTGAATATAGAGCAGATCCTTGAATTAATGTCATTTTGTTCAGTGTCATTTTATTATAATGATGAGAAAAAAGAATTGGTTTTATTGTAAGTTGTTTCACTTAAAGTCAGTTTCCAAGAATCTATTGACAGTATTGAGTGAGGACTTACTGTGGTTGATGTTCTTCATCTGCTATCTCGTTATTCCTCTTTTTTCTTGTTTAGGATACAAATCAATCATTTGTCAAATATTTATTGCATGCTTTTTAATTGTTGAGCCTTATGTCAGGCATGTTTTATACACACTCATATGTGCCAAGTTGGGCATATGCTGCTATCCAGAACATTGTACACAGCAAGTGCAGTGATTGTTCTTTTCCATGTTTCCACGCGTTGGAGTTTCTCAGGTTAGTTCCTGGGAAGCTCTACAAAGTTGGTTAAGTGGATTCTGCCTTTTGAGAGATTATAGTAACTAACTGACCACACTGAGAAGAATAGACATAGGAAAGAAGATGTGGAAGGGATGTAAGGAGCCTAACCTGGGAACTGAAAGCCCTGAGTTTGAGACATGGTTCTCTCACTTACTTAGTAATCTTGGGCAAGTCAGCTAAATTCATTAAAACTTCCATTTTCTTCTCTTCCATTTTCCATTCTGGAAAAGCAGAATCATGCTGCCTATTATCTCTCTCTCTCCAGGTTAGGGAATCAAATAGTGTAATACATGTATGTGAAAGGTTTTTGCTACTGCAGTGGTGTATTACTGTAGGCTGTTATTATTGAAAGCTATGTAAGTGTCAGATAGATACTCTTACTGTTATATCATTCTTTACATATAATTTGATTCTTAGGGCTCATGGAGGTAAATAGGGCAGGATTTGCTATTTCTTGGCATTTGACTAGACTAGTATTTAGAAAAGTTAGATGACTTTCCCAAGGCTACATAGTTATTGGTAGGGTTCTTAGAGTAGCCCTTCATGTTTTACTTTCTTACTCTTGAGAACTGATTTAATGTATACTGCTGGGGTTTTATTGAGAGATTACTGGGTAGTCTGCTAGATAAGAGCTCCTACATTATTAGAAATAGAACATCTTTAGCACACATTTCCTTTTCTCAAATCTTTATATACTCCTACCATTTTGACCCTATAATACAGTTGTACACATTTTAGAAAACAGAGTCATTTTTCTTTTTCCCTTCCCTTTCCATTTATAATTAGCCTTCCTGAAACATCTGTTATAGTTAGTAAAACCAAATGATTCACTTTCAAAATCTGTGTATCTGTTGATATATACAGCTTTCGTTATTTCTCTTAGTTGAGGGCAAAAAGGAAAGTTCCCCCTCTTGTCTGAACTGATTTGGATCAAAATGTATGTAAAGAGCTCCTTATGCCATTTTCTGCTTTAAAATGAGAATATTTTTTCAAATACTTTCTTTACCATCTTATTTAGGACAAAGTAGACGCTGGCCTGCCCACAGCAATTGTAAGTATATTTTAACTTTTTAAAGGTAAGCTTTTTACTTGATTGAGTTTTCTTAGATTTATTCTTACAATGTTTAAATTTATTACATAAATTATAATAAATTTGTAAGCCATTTTACTGCAGATTATCAAGTTTAAAATTTGTCTATGTTGAATGTTTTCTCTTTTCTTAATTAAAAAAAAGGCTTTTGTTTGAGAAGCAGGTAATGGAATAATGATTATTTTGCTGCTTCTGTGACTTGGTTTCCCTTCTGTTAACAGGGAGTGGAAAGCCTCATTTGTTAAAAACATTTTGTGGTAAATTTCATGTTTAACAGCTCTGGTTACATTGCCAAATAGTAAGTCTGTAGAATGATTGTAGAGAACTGGGGGATATTGACAGCACTCTAGTCCCTTTTCTCTAGCTGCCTCCTGCCACTTTCTTCTTAGTCAGTCATTGATGAGGAGGTGGGCTGAGTTTTGAACATTTCTGATACCTTCTGGCTCTTCCGAGTAAACTGGAGAAGAGCAATCTCAGCACTGCCTCATATCTCATAGGAGGCTCTTAGTTGTGTAGCCGAAGTGCCTCTTACTTTGTCTGGACCCCTGATTTTTTGTTTTAAAGTTGCTTTAGAGAAAGCTAAGTGGCACATTTTTGCCTATAATGTTGAACATATGCTATTTTGATAATGTTACCCTTAGAGTGAATTTAGAGGGATTCTCAGAAATAAGATGTCCTGAGTTTCATTTCCCGTTTTGCCTCCTAGATAAAATTGTCCTTATTTATAATAGTTGGTATGTCATCTGGTGCCTAGAGGAAGGAATAGATTTAACTTTGATTATTTCAAGATCCTTGATATATTACATCTTAAAATACAACCTTCCTTTTTATTTTCAGGCAGTGTCCAGTCTGATAGCAGTGGGTACATCTCATGGATTGGCTTTAATATTTGGTAAATTTTCTTAGTACTTTCTTACTTTTAAATATTAAGAATCCTATTTGATTTTATAATGTCCTTTAATCACAGTTTCTACAGCATGCTTTATTTTCTTGAACAAAACCAGAAAAACTTGAAAGGTAGCAGTCCATATTTTTAAAGTTAAGAATTACTTGATTCATAGTTTTGTTTTGCTGCTTGTTAAGTCAGTTTCCTTCTTCGTGAATTTTTTTTTTTTTTAATTGAATGGTAACTGTGTACATTGATGCACTTTGGGGGTACAGTGTGGTGTTTTCACACACAATCCAAGACACTTCCATCAAACTGGTTAACATAGCCTTCATGTAACTTTCTTAGTTATTGTGTTAAAACGTTCATATTCTACTCATAGAAAGATTCACTTGTACCCTTGTAAGATGAACCACACAAGTGAACCCTCGAATCCCTCTCCCTCCACCCTCTCTCCCCTCCCTCTCCCCTCCCCGTATCCTTAGTTTTCTTAAGGTATCATATCTATTCACACTTCCAGACCTTAAAAAAGAGAATGAAGTTGAAAGGAACCTTGGGTAGAGTCTCGTCTGCCTCCAGTTGTTGGTGGTGATATTGGCCTCTAATTTCATGTCCTAGTTATGGGTATTCTAAAAGGTCTTCAGGGAAAGAGATTCCCCAGGATTTCTGAGTAATTTTTAGTTTTTTCATTTCCATTGTAAGTCTCTCTAAACTGAAAAATGTTTGGCCCATAATCGTATTGTTTTCTTGGTTCAAAAGTGGACTTAACTAGTTTTATTTATGTAGTAAAAGGTAATTGTATTTTTTTCTCTCTGATACTCAGTAATCACAATGTCATTAATCTATCTTTTGCATTCAATTTTTGAGCAGAATATTTTGTTCTTTAAAAGTTTATTTAAAAACTTTTAGATAGTATTTTTCTGTTACTTTTAGTGTTCTGGACATTAATTTTTGCATCTCTCATAAATGGAATTCCCAAGGACACTATACTTACTAATAAGGAATCTGCAGAATGTTTTATAAGTTTGCTTGAGAGTGCTTTAATAATAGAACCACAGTTTGATCCCTTGGGGCCTTGCATCTTTATCATATGAGTAGATAACTAGTTATTTTCTGTTGTTTTTGAATAATTTGACTTCCTGTTTACAAATTTTCTATTATGCCAAAAGTTTTATTTAACATGTAATTGTAACACCTAGTCTTTTTAAAGGAGATTGATTAAAATAATAGAATTTTATTTTTGGGAACCAGAGAATACAAAAAAATTTATAAGTAACTTGAAAGAACTTTAGAATTAATTCTTTAAAAAATACTTTTGTTTTTACTGTATAACTAATATATACATTTTCATTGTAGAAAATTTAGAAAATATGGATGGAAAAAAAGTTGAAGATATAAAATACCAAATTCCATTCAGAAATAATGTCTAACATAGGTTTTTTTTTTCCTGTACTTGTATATATGTATGTGTACATGCTAAACCATGATCATGTTTAGTTGTAACCTACTTTTCATTATAATGACATCTTTCTGTGCAATTATATATTTGTCTGTAACTTGAATTTTAATGGCTACATACTATTCTATTAAACAGATTCTTCCTAATTTACTTAGCCATTTCCTATTATTTTTTTTTTTTTTTGAGACGGAGCCTCAAGCTATCCCCCTGGGTAGAGTGCCATGGCATCACAGCTCACAGCAACCTCCAAGTCCTGGGCTCAAGCGAGTCTCCTGCCTCAGCCTCCCAAGTAGCTGGGACCACAGGCACCCGCCACAATGCCCGGCCATTTTTTAGTTGCAGCCATCATTGTTGTTTGGCGGGCCTGGGCTGGGGATTCGAACCCACCACCTTAGGTGTATGTGCCTGGCGCCTTAGCCGCTTGAGCCACAGGCGCCGAGCCGCCATTTCCTATTATAAGGCATTTAGATTTTTTTTTTTTGAGATAGAGTATCACTATGTCGCCCTCAGTAGAGTGCCGTGCATCACAGCTCACAGCAACCTCAAACTCTTGGGTTTAAGCCAGCGGTTCTCAACTTTATTAAAGGGCTGTAGCATTAGGAAGGTTGCGAACCACAGGCTTAAGCGATTCTCTTGCCTCCGTTTCCCAAGTAGCTGGGACTATAGGTGCCCACCACAACACCCGTCTATTTTTTTGTTGTAGTTGTCATTATTGTTTAGCAGGCCCAGGCTGGACACCAACCCACCAGCCTTGGTGTATATGGATGGTGCCCTACTCACTGACCTATGGACGCCGAGCTGGTATTTAGGTTTTTTATAAAAAGGAGTATTATAAACATTTTGTTACTATATTTTTGTACACATGATTATTAGGACAAATCCAAAAAAGTAGAATTGCTTGCATCAGGATATGAACATTAAGGACTATTGATGTGGTTGCTCTCTGGAAAAGTTTTCCTAGCTTGATTCTCTTGTTCTATGTAAGAATGGTTGTTTCCTATAGGGGTAAAATTGATATTAGATAAATAGAATTTAGGGAGAGAATCCTATAAGGTCTTTTAGTTCAATCTCTGAGGCGATCAAGGACCAAAGACATTACGTGACATGCACAATGCCAAGTTCATAATCAAGGAATACAGAATCCTAGATCAGTGCATTTCCACTATTCCAAGTGATCCTCCTGTCCTGAGAGAAAAGGAGGCAATAGACATGAAGAAAAAAATTAAAGAACTAAGGTGAATGAGGAAAGAATATAATGTAAATGTTTACCTGTTGGCAGAATGCTTTTTCTTTTTTTCTCTGAGATAGAATGTCACTCTGCTGGTCAGGGTAGAGTGCCGTGGCATCATCATAGCTCACAGCAACTGCAAACTCTTGGGCTCAAGCAGTCTTCTTGCCTCAGCCTCCTGAGTAGATGGGACTACAGCCTCAACATCGGGCAAACTTTTCTTTTTTTTTTTTTTAGTAGAGATGGGGTGTTGCTCCTGCCCAGGCTAGTCTTGAACTGTGAGCTCAAGCAGTCCAACTGCCTCCGCCTCCCAGAGTGCTAGGATTGCAGGCGTGAACCACTCCGCCGGGCCTTACATGTTGATTTTTTGTTCCCACTTACTAGTACTCACTTTTCCTCTACTCTGTTTTATTTATTTTTATTTTCATTTTTTTGAGATAGAGTCTCACTATGTCACCCTCAGTAGAGTGCCATGGCATCACAACTCACAGCAACCTCAAACTTTCGCGCTTAAGAGATTCTCTTGCCTTAGCCTCCCAAATAGCTGGGACTACCCATGCCCACCACAATGCCCAGCTATTTTTTGTTGCAGTTGTTTAGCTGTTGTTTAGCTGGCCTGCGCTGGCTTCTAACCCACCACCTGTGATATGTGGCTGGTGTGCCATAATGACTGTGCTACAGGCACCAAGCCCTATACTCTGTTTTAACCTTCCTTTCTTATAAACAGGTTATACAAATATATAACTGCTTGTAATCAAACTCACATAGAGCTTACTGCAAAGTAATTAAAATGAATACTTTTAGAATAAAACTAACAGAGGAAAAGAGTACATTATCTTTTGATACTGTCTTTTAAATTTCCTCAGTCTTGCTTCCTGGTTTTTTTAGATTGTAGCATAGTTCATGTAGATACAAGGAAATAGTAATGTTATATTATAGTCTCATGGAAAAGAAGGCATGCCCCAGTGAACATTTTGAGAAATAATTATATTCTGATTATGCTTTGGGTTTTGATAGGGTAGCCAATAAATTTTACTTGTTATTATTGACAGCCGTCAGATGTTTGGATAATATGTTTTAATGAATGGATTAAAATTGCTTGAAAACCAAGGAATAAACAGCAGAGTAGTAATAGTATGAAGTACCAAGATCAGAGGTCTAGGTTAGAGCAGATCTCTTTTATTTTTACTTAAATATATATTTTTTGGTTTTTTAAAAAAATTATAAATACTTAATTGTTGTTTTTCTTTATAGGGCACATATGATGTTTTGATACAAGTTTACAATGTGAATCAAATCGGGTATCCATCACCTTCAGCGTTTAACATTTCTTTGTGTTAGGAACTTTCATTTCCAATGGTTTGGTTATTTTAAAGTATACTCTAACTTATTGTTGATTATAGTCACTTTGTTGTGCTATCAAGTATTGACTAGTCCTCTGATCTCTCTTTAACATCTGTTTGGATAACAGGAGAAAGTATAGCAGGAAGAACTATACTTATTTAAGTATGATTAGATTCTCTTTGAAATAGATGTCTGGGTCATTAAAATATAAATCATTATAAGTTTTTAAAATGTTGATGTATATTGCATACTCTTATGGAATTATACGTATATGGCATTTTTTGTGTGTCTTGGTTCTTTTTTTTTTTTTCCTTCCCCTGGAGACAGTTGCTCTTTGTTACCCTTGGTGGAGTGCTGTGGCGTCATAGCTGAAGTACCTCAGACTCTTGGGCTCAAGCGATCCTTCTGCCTCAGCTTCCTGAGTAGCTGGGACTATAGGCGCCTGCCACAATGCCTGGCTAGTTTTAGAGAAGGAGTGTGGCTCTTACTCAGGCTGGTCTCGAACTCCTGAGCTCAGGCATAAGCCACCATGCCTAGCCATGTGTTTTGGTTCTTAGCTTGTACAGAATCTCAAAAGTTTAATTCTTAATAAAAATGTTTCTCTATTTGAAGATCCTCCGTTTTCATTTTTCTGCTTGTTTGTGTATTTTAGTAGCTGATCTTTTTGAACTTGTTTTTCTTTCTATGTAACTTAAACATGGTTTACCACTGTGCTATAATTTAAATATTATGTATTTTTTCCTTTCCCATAACTGATACCTGAATATAATCATGAATGAATGTAATCATGTCTTTAGACATTAGTCAAATTTAATATCATTCCCACAGATAATAAAAGCTTGTCACTTACTCTCTTGAAATTTTACCTACCTTTTTTCTGAACTTTTGAACTGATGTCTTGCATTTCTCTCTCTTTTAATCTTTTCTTCGTGGATTCAAAAGGAAAAGGTATAGTACTTCTGGTTTGCACGAGTGGTTTTTTTATCTTTTGATCTTTTAAATGTTGAAAGAGAAGCTATCAATTACAGTTAATGCCCTCTTATGAAATGTTTATTGAAAAAAACTACAGCTAATTAAAGCAGGAAATTGTGAAAAACTATAAATAAATTCATACCTTTAATGTTTTATTTTAACCGAAAATACATAAATTTTCATTTTCCCCGTACCTTTTGATACATTCGGAAACCTTTTCCTTGAGTTTGTATCTGCTGATTGGGGGGGTCTGCGGTATTTTGTGGGGCATAAACTTCATTAATAATAGGTTATATAAAATTTGCAGTTTTAATTTTTAAAAATAAGGTAAAAGATTGCTTCTTGGCCTTTTGGCTAAGATCTGCAGTATCTATTCTTATCAGTTTAATATCTGATACATCCTCTGTCTGAGGACAATATATTAAATAGATTTTTGGAGCAGGGAGTTGGACTAGGAACTTGTTCTGTCCACTCCACGCATTGACCTGGTATTGCAGTACTTCCAGGAATGGTGCACCCCCTTGGGGGATCAAAAAAAAAAATAAGGTAAAAGCTTAAGGCACCTTTGAATCAGAGTACAAAATTTTAGATTTTAATAAAACTTTCTTTCACTTTTACCCTTAGCAACACTTAACTTTGCGACAATTTTGTAAAGCAACTTGTTTTTACCAAGTTTTTCTAAATCATCTAGGTAGTGTTTATGGAAACAACAACTTTCTTTTTCGCTCTGATTTCATCAGTTTATGTACTTTTAAATTACATTTTAAAAGAACAGTAACATTACAATGCTATGAGCAGGTTTGGGAATGTGAACAAACTGACTTTTAGTAGCATTCAGCATTCTAGAAGACAGCCACTTAGCCATGGGGATTCAGTGTGCTCTGGTCTTCAGTCAGTAAGCTTTCCAGAATGAAGGAGAACTTCAGTTCTGTATGCTGGTTAGGTGGAGGTCAGGTAAAACTGCTTCTCCTGTTTTATGATCATTAATGAACAAAGTTTTCTAGTAAGATCTTTCCTTTTCTTCTTTGGTCTTAGAGAATATTTTAGTATAAATAAAGGGTAAGCAAAGAGAAGAATTGAAGAATGGTGAATACTGGCAGGTAAAAATGGAATTCTGCATATACAATTAAATTTCATTCCTTCTAGAATGTAGGCATTTCTTTCTTGGCTGATCTTTGAGAGCTAATTAAAACAAATTAGGGGTGAAGAAATAGAAGATCAGCTAATTTTGGCATATAGAGAAAGTTAGCATAAATTCTTGGAGTATGTTCAAATTTAGATTTTAGAACTTTCTATCTTGTTATAGCTTTTCTTTGCTGTTTGGCACATTATTTATTTTTATTTATTTATTTATTTTTTGAGACAGAATGTCATCCTATTGCCCTGGGTAGAGTGCTGTGGTGTCATAGTTCACAGCTACCTCAGACTTTTGGACTTAGGCAATCCCCTTACTTTAGCCTCATGAGTAGCTGGGTATGCAGCATCACACCCAGCTAGTTTTTCTATTTTTGGTAGAGACAGGGTCCCGCTCTTGCTCAGGCTGGTCTCAGAACTCCTAAGTTCAGGCCATTCACCCCCCTCAGTTTCCCAGAGTGCTGGGATTATAGACGTGAGGCACTATGCCTCACCAAGCACATTATTCTTAAAACTCAGGATGTGCTGAGGGGATTTACGCTTAGCAAGTGTACTTTGAAAGGTATACTAATAAAAGTATAATTCAGTGTAGTGTCAAATAGATGTACTTTATGTGATATTTGGGCTTAAAATTCTCTTAACTGGTAAGCTATATTATTATTATTATTAATAATTCCTTGAGTTCGCATTAGTCTCTTTTTCATATTTCTTACCCCAGGATCACCATCATAAAAACCTACTCCATTTTTTTTAATACCAAGTTGATAGTGCCAACTAAATGTAATTACATGTATTATTAATTTAATACCTTTTCTCTAACAGTAGAGAAAGGAGATTTCCAAGAGTCAAGGGAGAATAGAATTTTCCCTTTTAAATTAATGAAATCAAGAGCAGCCCGAAGAGAACTCTGTTTTCATCTTCTTGCTTCTGTCCAGCTCCTTTTGTTCTTTCTATGTAACTATAGAATTTAAATGTTTTAAAGAGGTTTTGTGTTTATTTGGGGCAGATATCTTTTCCTAGAATTGTCCAGAATTATCTGGACTCCGGAATATTCAGTTAACGCTAGCAGGAGAAACCTCTGCAATAAGACTGTTTTCTTCTTTACACAGAAATTCTACCTTTTTTGAATTTAGTTTAAATTGTGTAATAGCAAGTTTGTTAATATGGTACTATAAAGATAGAAGGTATAAAGACAGCAATACAGTTGATAAATGTCTTTGTGGAGTCAAAGTAGATTACATTTGACATGCTATCTTTGGTTCTATCACTGTATCTGCTGTTTTTTTTTTTATTTGTTTGTTTTAATGTGTGTAAGTATAATGTATAAATAACTTTGTGATAAAATATAATATTTGAAGGATATCAAATTAGTTCTTTTGTGCTTTATCTTACTTTACTAATTTATTCCTCTAAGCAATGTAATGAGGTAATGGGTGTTTTCCACATTTACTAAGCAAATTTAAGTAGCATCTCTAATATTACTGAGGCATATACTGTAGTTCAGTGCCTGTAACTGTCTAGAAGTAGAAGCAAGATTAAAATCCAGGTATCTGGTTTCATAGCTGTGCTGCCTTTTAAGGGGAAATTATAAAGACAACAAATACATTGTGAAAGTCAAGACAAAAATTGGAAATATTTTCATTAACACAGACCTGTGGGGTGTAAATTGAATATATATTTCAGGAATGACCATGGTTGATATTTTAGTTCCCTGTCTTAGCTACATTTTAGTATGTGGGGACCACAGTCAGGAAAACAGTTACGTTTGGTTTTTAATCTAGAAATGAGATATGTCCTTTCTCTTCCCTCATTTCATACATTGCCACCCCTTTCTATTTCCCCTTTCTTAATGGCACCCTTGTTTTACCATACTTCTCTTTTTTTTTCTGCTCATACTTATTGTGCCTTATGAGAATATGTAAATTGTCTAGTTTAAAGCATGAATTTTGTTAAATTAGGAAGCAGTAGTGAGTGTGTTTAATCGCTGGTGAATGAGAACGCCGTGAGGTTTGGATTAAAGCGGGGCCTACAAAGGGTCTGAACAGTAGGCTAGTGAGACACTGCTCTGTTCCTGGAAGGCAAGTAGTTCAAACTCCATGGGCTTCTTTGTGAGGAGGGTATGAAATTTCATACCTGCCTCTATCTTTGTCCTCTTCCTCTCGGTTTATCTGTTGCCCATGCATGAAGCCTAAGCTGGGGTATATGCAGAATACTGCTGCCCAACCATTATCATGACAGTTTGCAGATTAAAGTATGTGAATAATCCACTAACTGAATAAGGCAGCCCTAAGAAGTAAGGATCATGGAAACCACTGTTTTGGGCAGGCCTTTTCAGTTGAGAGAAATAAAATGTGATATCGTATTTAGAGTCGAGAAAATTGCAGAATAAAGGGCAGTTTTAATAATTTGAATTAAATTGAGAGATAGAGGAAAAATTAGGGTGGAGGCAAGTGTAAAAGGGAAAAATATCTGTAATTATATAATTCTAGACATAAAGATAATGACTTTCAAGATAACTAGATTCTATATGGTTTTTATTCCTTGATGTTCACCTTGGAAGATGAAAATACAAAATGATTTTTTAAAAAGTTGAATATTTTTTATGTGTCAGATGCAGTAGTCATTAGTTGTTTCAGAACTCTTTCTTGGGAAGGGGTACTGCTGTTGAGCCAGCTTATGAACACAGAAAAATACTCTCACAGTATTCACTTGGGATAGACAAAAGGACTTAGTATTAGTTTCTAGACCTGAGAATGAATGTCTTCAGACTCTTTCTGATTGCTAGATTTACTTATTGAAGGAAGGTTTGCAAATGTGAAAGCTACTTTAGATGATTATCAGATGCCCTCAGAAGGCAAAGAACTAAGCAATGTCTTTTGGGAGTATCAATTCAGTCATGATCTTAGCCTTCAGAGAGGTCCTGTCTAATAAGGGAAGTAAGACTAACTTCCATGTACATAGTTAAAGGAGTCACAGACAAGTACTGGGAGATGAGAAACCTCCAGGTTGTAGAAGCATGATCTTTGTTTTGTTCTCTCTCTCTTTTTTTTTGTAGAGACAGAGACTCACTTTATCGCCCTTGGTAGAGTGCCTTGGCATCATACCATTCATAGCAATCTCCAACTACTGGGCATAGGCAATTCTCTTGCCTCAGCCTCCTGAGTAGCTGGGACTACAGGTGCCCGCCACAACGCCTGGATATTTTTTTTGTTGCAGTTTGGCCAGGGCGAATTTGAACTCACCACCCTCAGTATGTGGGGCTGGCACCCTACCCACTGAGCTACAGGCACTGCCTAGTTTTGTTCTCTTTTTTCTAAACAGTTAAATTTTGTAGTCATACCTTCTTACATTTAATTTTTTATTTGATTGTTTTTAAGTAGACATAATAACTCTATAGAAAATAAGTATTGTCTAGGACAGCGGTTCATGACCTGCAGGAACTGTATTAAAGGGTCATGGCATTAGGAAGGTTGAGAACCACTGGTCTAGGAGAAGCCCTAGAAGAATTTCTTTTAATTATTAGATAATAAAATTTAATAAATGTTTGACTGCCTCCTGGAGAAATCAGAGGTCATTAAGGCAGAATCCTTGCCCTTAAAGAATGTAATCTAACAGGGATTTGAATTACTTGCTTTTGGCATAACAGATGTGAATGCCTGAAGTACTTTTCTGAAATGGTTTAAATGTTTACTCTGTAATTTTATTTGCACTGTTAATTTGCTTGGTAAACTTTTTCTTCATGGATAATATAAATGTAAATTTTAGCCAAATTCTAAATTAAATACATTTTGGTTTCTGAAGTTATTTTAAAAGAAGATAGTATTCTCTGTAACCTTGCATCATGAAAATGGCAACATGTACAATTCTAGGCTGAGACAGATGAAAAATAGTTGGCTCAAGAAGTTGAAGATTTCTGGGCGGCACCTGTGTCTCAAAGGAGTAGGGCCTCGGCCCCATATGCCAGAGGTGGCGGGTTCAAACCCAGCCCTGGCCAAAAACAAAAAACAAAAAAAAAAAAAGAAGTTGCAGATTTCTTATAGGTATTTTGGCTTATCATTAGCAGGTTCTGTATTATACTTCCTTGTAGATTTTGTTTTTTTCTGTATTCTTAGTGTCTTAATTCAATGCCCATCATCTGTTAGATGCTCAATAAATAAAATGAATGTGAATTCAACTGCTACCTTTGATCCTTGCTGCCTCCAGGTCTTACTAGATGTAATTGTTCACTCTCGTTTCTCTCACTTGACTTTTTACACTGCTTTAGATCAGAATCAAGCTTTGCGACTCTGTCTGGGTAGCACTAGTGTTGGAGGTCAGTATGGAGCCATCTCTGCTCTCAGTATCAACAATGACTGCTCAAGACTTCTTTGTGGCTTTGCTAAAGGTCAGGTAAGATGTGAAGTTTCTTTTATCCATAAGACAGTGTTAAAATCAATTTTTAAAAACTAGTATCTTTAGATAAATGTTGAAGACCAAAATGTGTGAAGAAGTATTATGTTGTAAAGTTAACCTGAGATTGCTCAATCTGACCTCTGTCTTGTTCAGATTTGTAATTCATCATTACTGATTGACCCAGAATATGTAATTTTTCATATCCTAATTCATGAATCTATTGGAGTAAAAAGCTTTCTTAATCCAACCAGGGTATAACGTAAAATGCCCTTACAGTAACGTAAACAATTGTGGCTGCTTTTTAGATGCTCTATGTTCTGTATTCTTATTTTTGTGTTCTTGAATAACTATTTTGGTGTGTCTTTCTTTCCACTTCTGAAGCTGGCAGTAGATTATGGTTTTTCCCATCTTCTGATTTCTGCATCACTTGCTGGTTTGGCAATAAGCCTTTCCTATAATTTTTACCAGCGCTAAACAGATTGACTTATTAAAGAAATTCTTTTACCTCTCAGCATGAGAACAACATTTACAATTTAAAAGGAAAAGTAGGTTGGGCAGGATGAGGGTTAGATGAAGATAGAATAAAGGCTCCATACTTTAATGCATCTGTAACCTTTAGGTATGTTTTAACTTTATAGTTCTTTGCCTGTAATGTTTATAGACCAGGAATAGATTATTTCAGCCAGAAGACAGGATACTTAAGTCCAAAAAAGAGCAATAAATTTGTTTTTAAAGCACTTAGTTGTCTTATAGATCACCATGTGGGATTTGGCCAGTGGAAAACTTCTCAGATCAATAACAGATGCTCATCCTCCAGGAACAGCAATATTGCATATCAAGGTAATGGCTTTGTTTTCTTCTAATAATTCTTTTTGTTCTTTTGCCTTTGGTTTTACTTTAAAGTAATTTCTCTGTATTGATAATCAGAAGTCTAAAAAATGTATTTAACATGAAGCTGTTAAAAATGTATTTAACATGAACATATAAATTGAATTCTTAATATTGAACTGCCTTTTATTTGACTAGCCCAACATGGTGTTTTCCCAAGTTAAAAAAAGAGAAAGGTTAGTATGGAAATACTCAGCTTCAAGTTGTGATGAAGTCTGATAGATATAGCAGCAAAAGGGGCAGTAAAGGCAGGCAGCACCCTGCTGACACTCATATGGAGATCTTAAAAGATCTTTTTAACTTTGTTTTGTCCGCCAAAATTTTATTGTTAAGATGGTGTGTTCTGTCACCTTTTCTTGCAAGTTGCATGAGGTTCAAGGCACCAATTATGAAAGAACCAGCATTTGGATTACATTCAGAAATGAATCTTTTGGTTTATTTTCTTTCAGGCCTCTAAAGAGAAAGCATTAAGATCCTAGAGTTGGCTTTCTCTTTACAGGCCTGAAAAAATTAAACTGACTTAGGTTACAGATTTCATTTATAAGTACAATGTGGTTGTTGATTCTTGGATACTGGCAGGCCCATATTTAGAAGCATAAAAGGTAAAGGATTATAACTAGGAAAGTCTAAAATCAGATCTTCTAGATTTTAATCATGTACACATTTTGTTTCTTAGCTGAGCAGAGCTCTCTTGTCCATACATGTGCTTTTTAAAGTCTGCAACCATCTGGAGTTTATATGTCTGTATCTAGGTTAGTTATAAAAAAAAAAATCTTTTGTGACAAGGCACCATTGAAGCACTTAGTAACAATGAGAACAACCAAGACAAGTAAAAGTGGAGAGAATTTCTCCTTTTCCAGAACATGATGGTAATCTCTCTTGACGTCTTTTGAAATAGAATATACGAACTTTTAATATGTTATAGTTGCTTATATATGCATATGTCTGTGTGTGGGTTATGGAAGAATAATTTTACAGGGGCTTCCTGTACCTCACCCCTTCCTAAGAACGTGAGGCATACCATTTAAGATGGTTAATCAGCCTTTGGGCTTAGAGAGGCTAGTCACTCTCAATGATACAAGTTCAGTTATTCCATTTTGTGTCATATAGATTTATTATACCTCATATGACCTTGGGACTGTCTTTGTGAGCATTATTTATTCTGACTTTTCCAGGTTGCATCATAATAACTGAAGTAAATTCTGTGCAAGAAGATCAAGGAGATAGCACATTTTTAGAAGGGTTAAATAAAAAGTGTTAAAATATTTTAAATAGCGGATTAGCTCTTTATTCAGAAAGCGTAGTCAGAGATGTTTATTTCCCAGAGATACCAAGTATCTTTTATTGAGTCTTTTATTCTTGAAAACTAGGCAACTGCAGATGTATCCAAAGGATCCTATTCCTTTAAAAACAAGTTAGAAACAGTTCATGTAAGAGCTTTGGGTTTTTTATCAATCATAGTTTGTATTTTTCTTTTATTCTGGTGAAAGGTGGTTTTGCTTTTTGAAAGCCCCAGTTTGTATAAAGGTAACCATCTTTATTCTAAATAAAGGTAAGTTACACGTTTAGAGTGATGAGCTGAATCTAGGTTATTTCAAATGCTATTAAATGCGTACATGGTAGATTTGCAGTATTCTCTAATTTTTTTCTCTTCTTAATACTTAACTAGATATTTAAATAACTACAAGAAAATAAATTCCTTCTCTGTTTAGTTTACAGATGACCCAACTCTTGCAATTTGCAACGACAGCGGAGGCTCTGTTTTTGAGTTGACATTTAAGTAAGAGACTAATGGACATTTGTTGACAAATGAAAAGACTAATGTTTTCAGACTGAACATGAAGAGATCTAGAAATCCCATGTGATTGAGAATATATTATGGCTGCCTATTATAATTACCTGGGCAGGCTTACAGAAAATGTGGAGTTCTGGGCCTGGCCTTCCAGAGTTTTATCTCAGTAGGTTTTATTGGCTGTCAAGCTTGAGAATCAGTATTCTGAGCTACTCTGTTCACTAATTTTGGGTCAGGTTCAAGGCCCAGTTGTTTATAAATGGTGCAAAAAGATTTTTATTGCCTGGGAATTGCCCTGTTTACTCTTTAAGAACAAAGACTGTTTAGATACATAGGAGAAAATTTATGAAGCCAAGTTTTAAAAAAAGTAGAACATAATATTGTCTATTATATTTATACTGGTCCTTCAAGGTTAATAGCTGTCTTTGATTCTTATATTTCTCATAGGTTCTAACAAGGCTGAGCACAAAGTAATTTCTCTTTCTTGGGCATCTCTTATATGTAGGCCTTTATCTAGACCCCAGAGTTACAGCTGTGAACCAGGCAAGATTCCTACTCTTACAGAATTTACATTCTGGTTGTGAGGAGACGGCAACAGATAGTAAGCCAAACACATAAATGAAATAATACCAGATATGTATGAGTGCTGTGATTAAAAAGAGTGCCCTTGAAGATATGCCTTTTGAAAAAAGACCTGAATGCTGAGCTAGTAAACAGATACAAAGATCTGGAGGACGTGTTCTGGACAGAGGAACATTTGAACACAAAGGCTTTTAGTGGGCACAAACTTGGCCTTCTAGAGCAATGGAAAGAAGACAGGTTTGACTAGAGCATGGCTTTATCAGACACACAGTACCGGGAGGGGAGTGAAGGCATGAGCCTGAGCTTGTCTTTTAAGACATGGTAGAGTTGAGATTTTATTTTAGTTAGAGTGGCAGCCAGTGGACTGGTTTTAGCAGAAGAGTGACAGATATGACCTGTATAATAAAAAGAACATGCTGCTGCTGTGTGTAGTTTTGGACTGTTGGGGGTAAAAGGGAGAGTTAGTTATCCAAGTTAGAGGTGATAGTGCCTTCGATCATTGCTAAACTGGTACTGAACTTTTGGATTACATTTTCAGGAGAGTGATGGGAGTAAGAACCTGTGAATCTAGATGTTTGTTCAGTGGTTCCAAGGGTGAAGTTTGCTGTATTGAGCCTCTACATTCTAAGCCAGAATTGAAAGATCATCCCATCACACAGTTTTCATTATTGGCCATGGCATCCTTAACAAAGGTAGGTGTATTTAGAAGATGAAACTCATAACTTTTAGAGGGTTTGAATACCAAAACTTTGAAAATTGTGAGGCCAATCTTGAACATAAATTATATTTCTTTTCTAAAGATACTGGTCATTGGACTGAAGCCATCTTTGAAAGTATGGATGACTTTTCCCTATGGTCGGGTGAGTAAGCCTCTCCATCTTAGTTTGAGGGAAATGATTTGCAAGGGCAAATTCTGTGAAATTATCAAAATTTTAATTTTAATTTCATTCTAGTAGATAGAATGAAAGTGCTCCAAAGATCATTCATTGTCTGAACTTTTCTTGAGGTGACCAAAGCCATATAAGCTGGTGATTCAAACAATGTCTTGGGGATCATGAGATCTTCTACTTTCTACTTTTATTACTTTAAGTCTTTCTCTCATAAATAGCATATGGCTGTTTTTTGTTTTTTGTTTTTTTTTTTTTTTGAGTCTTAACTTTCTCTCCCTTGGACTCAAGTGATTCTCTTGCCTCAGCCTCCCGAGTAGCTGGGACTACAGGTCCCCACCACAACACCTGGCTACTTTTAGAGATGAGGTCTGGCAGTGGCTTAGGCTGGTCTTGAGCTCAGGCAATCCTCCTGCCTTGGCCTCCCAAGTGCTAGGATTAAAGGTGTGAGCCACCACACCCTGCCCTGTTTTGTTTTTTTTTAAATCTCAAGTTGACCATGTCTGTATTGCTGTCTTGGCACTTTGTGGTCACACCTACTTTCATGAATAATTTTCCTAGTCTCATTCATTGTCCTTTTGATTGCAGTAAAATTCCCTTGTTGGATTTAAGACTGGAGGCTAGGTTCATGTATTGAATTTGAGCCTTAGTTTTCAGTGTTTGAAAATCATTTGTTTTTGTGTGACTGCTGTGCCAAGACATGTTTATTCTCATCACCTGCTTTGCTATGTAACTCCCGATAGACTATATCCCACTATAATAGCCAGCACAAATGGCTACTGCACATGCTTTCCTTGACTTCTGCCCCTTGATATTTTACTTTGGCAGATGATACTCCCAAAGTATGATATTGTTCCTACCCCAGTTTCCTTCTCTTTCTTGCTTGGATGTTTTCAGAAAGTTAGGATCTTCCAGTGTATGAGGAGATGTGTTGATGGGAGGGATGGAGAATGATGGTACAGAAGTCTGGCTAGTTTAGAATCTGGCTCTCATATTGAGGGAGATCACTTTTGTTTTCTTGTTGTTATTCTGTGTGCCTCTGGGCCCCAGCCAGGAAGCAAGACTGTTCTTTTAGATGCTAAAACTTGGTTAGATTGCCATTAACATTTCTTAGGTTAGCTTTATTGTAAGGAGACCAGATTTTAACATTGGTAAAGCGGATACCATGGGGGTGGGGGGGATGTAGAGGGGTGGGACCTGATAACAGTGCAAACTTTGATAAGCAGTCTCAGTAATCAGTTCTCAACAATTATTTGTTATTATTAAAGTTTAGCATTATAAAATTAACAAAAATAATATAAAACTCATAATCCTGGCAAAATAGCCTCATGGCAGCTGAAAACTGTATATTCCCTTCCCGTTCTCCCTAGCTTGTCGTGCATTCTTTCCAAAAATCGGGACTTTTTTAAAACGCCGCAGGACTCAAGACAAATTGTTAAAAATCAGGACTGTCCTGCCAAAAGCAAGATGTCTGGTCACCTTACTCTAGACTGGGGAGACAGGGGGTGTGGGGGTGTGTGGGGGGGGCGACTTGTTTGTTTCAGACAGTTTGGCTCCTTCTGAGCTAATTGTCCTTGCCTAGAAGCAAAGGAGGGAGCCAGTCTCCTTCTGATACCTTGCCCAGGAGGGGAGTAGGGAGTTTACATTAGCCTTTTCATTTCCAAATGAAGTTACGTTAACCTCTTCATTCCCAAATGGAGTTACATTAACCTTTTCAGCAGCTGAAAACCGTATATTCCCTCCCCATCCTCCCACTATTCCCTAGCTTGTTGTGCATTCTTTCCAAAAATCGGGACTTTTTAAAAATGCCACAGGACACAGGACAAATTGTTAAAAATCGGGACTGTCTCACCAAAAGCGGGACGTCTGGTCACCGTACTTTATTGGCTAATTAAGGTTTATGTCATGGTGATATGTGTTTGCTTCTTTTTATGTTTTTATTGGTATTTTTGCAATTCAAACAAATACAGAAGTTGGAAGAATTTTACGTTGAACATTTGTATACCTAACATCTAAGTTCTACTGTTAACACATCTCTATACCCACTCATCAAACTATATTATTTTGTAAGGTATTTCAGAATAACTTGCAGAAATCAGTACTCTTGCTCCTAAATATTCAGCATGCATATCACTAGCTAGAGTTAAATACTTGTTTAGTTTTTCCTTTGATATAAAATTTATATACCAAGAAATGTACAGATCCTAAGTAGATATTTGCTGCACTTTGACAAATGCATATACTCTTGTAATCCAAACCCCTACCTAGATATGGAGCATTACCATCAACCCAGAGTTTCCTTGTGACACTTCTTAGTCAGTTCTTGCTTCTGGGCAATTTTTATGAGAACTTGGGAAAAGCTTTATCAAAGAACACTAAGTTAGAGGCTGTTTTTCACCAGAGTTTTCTCTTTGTCCCGCTGTTTATTCATTGTGGTGACTTTTCCCCCCTTCTCTTCATTTAGATGGATCCTTCTAGCGTTCCATTGCTAGCCTGGCACTTTGTGGCCATACATAACTACGTGAATCCCATGCTTGCCTTCTGCAGAGGAGATGTTGTTCATTTTCTGTTGGTAAGTCCTAATGTGATGCTAGGTCTCATTATATTTTTTTCCTAGTTCCCCAGTAATTTAATGTTGTATCAATAAAAAAATTATCCAAGCATGATGGCATTGGTATTTAATTATCATAAGTCTCTGGAGAGAGATTGACTTATTTAATTTTTAAATAAAACCCCCTGATCCTCCTTAGCTTCATAACCCTCATAGTTTATTTCTCAGTTCCATCTGCTTTGACAAGTAATTAATGGTTTATGTGTGTATAAACACATGAGTGTGGTTATGTGTTAATGGTTTACCTATTTACATACATAACATGCATATTTATTAGAGAGCAAGTGTAATTCAGTACCTGCTGTTCTCCACACTGTGATGGCTCAAGCAGCAATTAGGGAAAGTTTGCACACAGCTTTAATATTGTTTGAAAAGCAAAGCCAGTATGTTTATTCCTACTAGAGAAAATAGTTTAAGGATTGAACTATGTAATGAGAATTAAATGTTGGTATAAATTCAGAGTATGAAGAGGTTAGTATGTATGAGAGAGGACATGGACAGCTTTGTGAAGGCTATACACTGAATGCTATGGAGAGGCATACTGGGGGGATGAGGTGAACTCAAGTCAGAGGGTAAGCATATGCCACTTTAATCTCTTTTTGGGTTTCCTAGCTCAGTGAAGTGAGTATACCACTGTCCATCTCGCTTCTCCACCCAGAAACTTGAGAGTCAGCCTGTTTGTTTACCTTTTTCTTTTCATGTGTGCTTCATCACCAAGTCCTGTTGACTCTGCCTCCAGAATCTCTTGACTTTCTTTCCTTTGTCTCCTTCATTGCTGTTTCTCTAGTGTAAGCCACGTATGTTTCCAGCCTGGATCCTGCAGTAGCTTTCTAACTAGTCTCTGGCCTCAATGCCTTGCATAGGCTGTCTCACAAGGAAAGCTCTGTGCTCTGTTTCACTGTTTTCTTACTCATGATTAACACTGCCTCACCTGAGGACCTGGAGCAAGTCAGTGCCTCCTGCTCCATGCATGGAGGCCTCAAGACCTTCTCTTTTGACAGCACTGAGCACTTTCTGAGTTACTCATCTAATGTTTTTTATTCCTCACTATAATGAAAGTCTAGAGACCAACTCAACTGTTATAATTCTAGCCACTAGGGCAGTGCTTATCTATGGTAGATGCTTAACAAATGTTTATAGAATTAATACCAAGGAGACGCCTATGGTGGAAAATAAAATTGAGTGTGTGGGGTGGATCTAGATTAGGGATCCGTAAACTATGGCCCATAAGTCAAATCTGGCCACCCATCTGTTTCTGTATATACAAGTCTTATTGGAACACAGTCATGCCTTCTTGTTTATATGTTATTTATAGTTGCTTTTTTACTACAGTGGTAGAGTTGTCAAGTTGTGACAGATACTGCATGGTCTGCAGGGTCTTAAATATTTACTGTGTGGCCCTTTACAGAAAAAGCGTACTAACCTTTGATCTAGATTATACAGATTATATCTACATCTAGATTGTACAGATGAGTTATACAGATTATTTTTTGTCAAAAAATGTGTACACATTTTAAGAAAGGAAAAAACACATTAAAATTGTAATACTCTATGTATCAGTAATAGTTGTTATCTTGAATATTGTATCTTATATCTCTTACAATTTTAGAAGTCAAATGTGACTTGAGTATTACATTTTAATACAATTTTTCCTTCATTAAAATGTATATACATTGTTTTGGCACCTTCTGTATAATGAGGAGGCATCATAGGTTCTTTGGTAATAAAGATGATTTTAGGAAGATCAGTCTAGAAGTAGCAAAATAATAGACTATAGGGGTATAATTGAAGATTTTTCTCTTGTAGTGAAGCAGGTAGGAGATGCTTAGACAAGGTTGGTTGGTTGCAATCAGAGTTAACTGATGATGCTTTGAGAGAAAGATAAGGCTTCTCATTGTATTGGTTCTAGGTACTAAAGGCCATGAACAAAACATCACAGTTCTGTATTTGCATATTAGAATCAAGAAATAATAGAGGGAAATTATTTGGGGAGAGGATGATTATGGAAGACTTCAGTACTTTGAGTTGGAAGTGAAGGTGGGACTCTCAAATGTGGTATCAGGGGATGTCCTACAAGCAGATGGCAGTCTAGGTTTAGGGTGCAAATGAGAATTCCAGGATAGAGAAGGTAGTTGAAGCTCTGAAAATCAAAAGGGTGAACATCCTAACCTTGATGGACACTTGCGCAAAGGAGAGGAAAAAGAAGAGCAGGAAAGTAGATTCCTGTAAAGGGAACAGAGGTAGGAAGGGAAATAGGGCAGATATGGGGTCACACAGAAGACAAAGCAAGAAGGCCATTGGGATAATATCAATTTTGGGGTAATGACAATGCCAGAGTAAGATCGAGGAAGATAATGACCACTGAACATATTAAGAAGTAGTTTATTAGAAACTTTTCAGAGCACTGATTATCAGTGGACTGGGATAGAAGCTAGACTTGTTAAAGAAGTCAGTATTTTGATGAGCAAACTCAGACATAGGTTTGATTGTAAGAGAGAGAAAATGGCTAAATGATATCTTTAAAAAGTAAATGGAGGAAAGAGGTTTTATAAAATGTTTTATTTGAAAGTAGAGAAGTGAAAACCATGCTTGAGACCAAAAGGAAAGGTGTTTAAAGAAGGAGTGATTAAATATGCTATCTAGGAAGGGCTAACATTAAACAGTGACAGAGAGGAGTAGGATAGAGTGTACAGTCATGTGCTGCATGACAACATTTTGCTCAGTGATGGGCCATATGTGCAACAGTGTTCTCATAAAATTATGATACCTTGTTTTTATTGTACCTTTTCTATGTTTAGATATACAAATAGTTACCATTGTGTTACAGTTGCCTGTGGCATTCAGGGCCATCACATGCCATACAGGCATGTACCCTAGAAGGAATAGACTATACCATAATAGGTGTATAGTAGGCTATATCATCTAAGTTTGTGTAACTATATTCTGGGATGTTTGCACAATGATGAAATCGCTAAGGATACATTTCACAGATCATGTCCCTGTTGTTAAATGATGCATAACTGTATGTATAGGTGATGTGACTTTTTTTTTTAAGCAAGAATTTAGAAAATCTTAGAGGAATAGATAATCTTAGCATTGATCTTTCCAGTTTATGAAATACTGTTTCAACATATGTAATGTATAGAACAATTTGGTGCTATCTTATGTTTGTTTCACAGGTGAGGTAACTGAGAATGAATAAGTGATTGCCCTTGTTCACACAGCTATAATAGTGGAACTTAAACATGTAGCTCTAAATGCCATGATCATTTTACCAGAATGTTCTTTCTTGTGGGGGAAGCAATTTAGTGAAGATGGGACTATGTGAAGGGTCCTCATTAAGTGATCCCACTTTTTTGATAAAGTATCAGGTGACATCAGCACTATAAGTGATGGGATTAGAAGGCAAAGAGGAATTGAGAATTAAAAGGAAGGACACCTACACCACCACCACAGAGAGTACACAGGAAAACCCAGGTTGTACTGAATGTTATGAATTTCAGGTGAAAGGTGTATCTTGTGCTTTATCTTTCTTCAGTGTTCTATTTCCGTGGAGCAGAAGTGGAGAAAGCAAGTGATAAGGATGATTGAGGTTCATTGAGTATATGTGTATACATATATAAATACTATGCTGATATGAAATTCTATTGGGAAATTTTGGGCTATTTGTACTCAAAAAAGTCTAGTTTTGTGGGGTGGCACCTTTGGCTCAAAGGAGTGGGGCACCAGCCCCATATGCTGGAGGTGGTGGGTTCAAACCCAGCCCTGGCCAAAAAAAAACTGCAAAAAAAAAAAAAAAAAGTCTAGTTTTATAACTGATGTTTTTTTTTAATGAACTTTGTTTAACTTCATCATACTATGTCACCAATCCCATTTCATACTTTAACTCTAGCTAACTATAGTCATTGATGTGATAAAATTAGTTTCTTCTGAATTATGACAGAGTCAAAATTATATAATACTGACAACTAGATCACTAGCCAACAATGCCTTGGATTTTGGTATAAATGTGGAGTAAATGATGTTTTTAATTTGTATAATAGTTTCTTTAATTACTAATACTTTTGGCCGAGCTGTACTGAATGAGAATCATGCTCTGCTCTAGGTAGAATGTAATTAAGTATTTAAAAAAGTCACTCAAAGAATAGATGATATTTGGATTGTTTTTATTTCATCAGGTGAAGAGAGATGAATCTGGAGCAATACATGTTACAAAGCAAAAGCATCTTCACCTGTACTATGACCTCATCAACTTTACTGTGAGTATTATTCAAATTAAATATCCTTATTTATTTTATGTAATTGTTCTGAATTCATGATGTACTAAATCTTCCAGGATTTTTCCAAGAACCATGACCTTTAAAATCATATAAATTATGGACAGAAGTGAAGTCCTACTTATATTTAATAAAGTCTGAGTTTGATGTGATGTGATATCACTACCTTTTGACCTTTTGTCAAAAGGGAGTTTGGGTTTCAAAGAATTTAGGTGGGTTTTTTCAGGATTATTGCCCAGCTTTCTCTGTAAAACATTTTTGTATTTCTGAGCTTGTCCTTTTTGGTCCTTGGGTCTTCTTTGTGTAACCTCTTCTTTTTTGGTGGCTAAAAACTTTGCAGAGTTCTCTCTCTGCTATGCATCTCAGTCCTGAGCAACTTCTTGGCTTAAAAAACGAGAGATTTCTTTTTATATTCAATTTTATTATTTCTTTTTCTAATAGTGTGTTAATTTGAGAATAGTATACTTGGAGTATTTCTGGGCTTCTGTCATTAATGCTTTTAGGACCTCAATATCTGATATCCAGAGAAACGTTCCATATATGCGGGAATATAGACAACCCTAAATATAATGCTATTAACTAGAAAAAAAATATTAGCAATGTTTATACGTTGGAAAAAGGAGAGCTCCTATTTCTTACTTTGGGTAGCAATCTGTTGGGTGCCCATTCCAACAGACTGGGAAGTGGACACCAGACCAGAAGCCAGGCATATGCGATTTGTGCTTCAAAGAAGAGATTGAAGGGAACAGAATTTTATACTGAACAGGGTAATCAAATATACATATTCAACAAGCTATAGGAGGAGTCATGAATATTTATGAAGGGAATCATACATGTCTAATTGTTCTTCTTCACTCCCATACCATCTTGGCTGGAAGCTCAGTTTTAAGCTCTTTCTAGGGTCCCCTTAGCCAAAGGGGGTCCATTTAGTTTGTGGAGGGCTTAGGATTCAATTTTATTAGGATGTTATTCTTAGTAGACAGGCTGTGTTTCATCTTTCTAGTAAAAGGACTAAAAGTGTTTTTTTCCTAATACATATATAATTTTCCAATGTATAACTGAAATAGATTTTTTTTTACAATACATAATTCATTAATTTAGTTGCACATTGCATTTTAAACTCACATATAGACAGATTATTGATTAAATAATAATAGAAATGATTTTTTCCATGCACATTTCATGAAATAATTTTGTTCAACTCTTCTGAGACACCAGTGGGTTTTTTTTGTTTGTTTGTTTGTTTGTTTGTTTGCATTTTTTTTGGCTGCTGCTGGGTTTGAACCTGCCACCTCCAGCATATGGGGCCGGCACCCTACTCCTTTGAGCCATAGGCAGCACCCTACACCAGTGTTTTTGTCATCCCCAGAACGCCTTGTCAGATCATTTGACACATTTTTATAGACTTTGTCATGATCACTTCTGTTTAAGGTGATTGAGATGCAGTACTTTTGTTACCTAACTAACAGTATCTGGCCACCTATGACTGTCAGCCAATATGCAGAGACTGGGAGCTGGCAGGAGAACCGTCAGTGAAAGTAGCCTCTCCAGGACTGTCCTTCAATTTCTAAAATTATAGTTTTATACATAATGATTCACAATATAGACCACAATAACCCTCATTTTAAATAATAATCAATACAATTCAGTGACAGTCTATTACATATCCAGTTAAAAAGTTAATTTCCTAAATCAGTCTTCCTAAAGCAAAAACCACAATAACCCTTATTTTAAATAATAATCAGCAAAACTTAGTGACAATCTATTACAACATTTCTAATTCAAAAGTTAATTCCTAAACTATTCAATTTAGGGTAGGAGCTAAATTTATAAAATAGACTGACTGGAGGTGAAAGTCACTTCGGACCTAATATGACCAGAACAGCAGTATTATGTCCGACCTAGCCTGACCCCATCTTATTTTCACTACACGTGCTTTTACTTTTAAACTGTCACTGAAAAAATTTCCCCCAACCACAAGTAGCCATTCTTCTAACAGTGAGACTGTTGTTGTTGTCATGGAGGTGATGGTTAATTGCATTGTTTTGTAAATTACCTTTAAAAGGCTTATTTACAGTAATGTCAGCATTTGACCAGTTGTGAGGGTCTACTTTCAGAAATAATTATCAACTGATGAAGGTTCTTTGTCTCTTCTTCTCCCTCCTTTATTTAGCCAGGTGACTTTTGCACCCTGAAAATTAGCAGTGATAAAGGTGGACAAGGCTAAATTAATGTGTCTTTCCTACTTTGTTTTTCAAAATAAAAAAAATAGCTGGGCATTGTGATGGGTGCCTATAGTCCCAGCTACTTGGGAGGAGGAGGCAAGAGGATACCTTGGCCCCAACAGTTGGGGTTGCTGTGAGCTATGACGACAGGGTTCTACCCAGGGCAACAAAGTGAGATTCTGTCTCAAAAAATAAAAAAATAAAAAAATAAAATTTGTAAAAACATATCCTATGATCTATCTATTACAGGTGTTAGGCTTCTTTTATACTGTGTGTCATTTTAACACCATCAAAACTCAGTCATTTTTGTGTACCTGCTGTTCTCTGGACTGTCACTGAGTGTGTTGCTATGAAAGTTATTTAATAGATAAGATCCTCAATGTAATTTAATTAAGTGGCCAAGCTCTCTTGTCAGGCATGATGATTTGGATTGGGTCTCACTTTATTTTGTTGTGTGCTTGAATTGCAGTGGATAAACTCACGCACAATTGTGCTCTTAGATAGTGTAGAGAAGTTGCATGTGATTGATCGGCAAACTCAAGAGGAGTTGGAAACAGTGGAAATCTCAGAAGTTCAGTTGGTCTACAACAGCAGCCATTTCAAGTCACTAGCCACTGGAGGAAATGTTAGTCAAGCACTGGTAAGGGTGACCTGTTATCTTGACTTATGCTTTTGTTATGCCTGAAATTCTCCCAAAAGACCCCCACAGACAGTCCGAGACACACTCCGATGTAAAAAGCACGAGATGAGTTTATTTCAGGCCCCGGGAAGCCTGGACTCTCCTGGCATGCAAGCCTAGGATGCGCCCTGAACTCGGGGTAGAGCAAGTTTTTATGGGGTACAGAAAGCAAGAAGGGTAGGGTCCGTTACGGGTACACTCTTGATTGGTGGTTGGTGATTTCATTAGTAAAGGAGGATTTGGATTGGTACAGGTGAGGGGTGGGGAATTTCTTAACCGGGGCTAGAGGTGGTGTAGCCTAATTAGGTAGTTGAAGGAGACACCTGAATTTCAAGGAAGTAGAAACCTATTGCCTATTATGGGAGCTGTTCAAGAGAACTGATACTTATTGCCTATTATGGCAGCTGTCTGCCTAGGGTGTCTCAATCAGTGGCTGTGCAAGCAGGTGTGGGGGAGGCAGCAGGGAGTGGCCCTGCGGTTTTAACAGAGCTTATGTAGTAGACAACAAAATGGCGCTAGTCTGGCCCTTACACTTTGATAAACTCGATAGTTTGTTTTGTGTTTTTTTTTTCATTAGTTTGTTTTGTTTTGGGGGTGGTTTTTGTTTTTGTTTAGAAATAGGAACTCTGGGGAATTATCTGTCGAGGTTTTTCTTTAAAAGTATAATAGATTGAAGTATGGATGTGTTTATAAGTATTCAAGGATGTAAGTCAAAATAATACTTCCTATTAAATTCTATATAGAAATGTGATTAACTTAATAACAAAGAGTTTTAACTTTTATACTAAAATAATGAAGTGAAATGAAAAATTTGTGAGAAGGAAATTGTAACATCAAAATATTTCACAAAGTTTAATCTGGTGGCAATAAACCAGATAGATTTAAGGGATAAATAGCGAGACAGATAGCCTACTCATTTGAGTCATACGGTAAAGGCCTGAACAGATATTTACTGTGGGCACTAACAGGCAAAGATGGCTTTGACAGAAAGAAGATTTTTTAGGAATAGGAGAAATTCTTTCTGATAGATAAAATGTAGGAGCCTACAGAGAGTTATGGCCTTAAGCAATTTATACAGAAGTTTATTGTTAAACGCTTTGAATTAGGATCTCATGATTCCTAAACCATTCATCTTTAAGTAGGAAATCTGGACTATTGTGAAACTTCCATGGGTAATTTCTTAAAAAAAAAAAAAAATGCTAACAATGGTCATATTTAATGAGTGACTTGCCAACAGAAAATTACCCAAACTCTAAAATAATTTAAAGAGGTTTATTCTGGGCTGAATATGTGGAAATGTTGCAGGAAGACGAGGCCCAGTAGAGAGACAGCACACCCAAACACCATGTTTAAAAGAGGCAGGGCTTTATTTTAGATGGTGGAGTAGTTTTTTCAATTGCACATGGAACATTCATTACCAATATAGATTATATGGAAGACCATAATCCCAGATTCAACAAATTGGAAAAGACTGACATCATCAGGATAAATCTGGAGAAAACCCAAATATCTGGAAGTTAAACATTTTTCTAAGTAGCCCATGGATCAAAGAAGAAATCACAAGAGATAAAGGAGATTTTGAACTGAATTTAAATGAAAATGCGACGTATCAAAATCTGTGGTCTGCAGTTAAATTAAGTTTTCAAAGAGTAATTTATAGCATTAAATACTTAGAAAAGAAGAAAGATACAAAGTCAGTGATTTAAACCTCTAACTTGATCAAGGAAATAGAAAAGGAAGAGTAAAATGAACTTAAAGTAGATTGAAGGAAGAAGTAATAAATCAATTGAATACAAAAATGAATAAGCAATAAATAAAATGAAAAAAACAAAAACTGTTTCTTTGAGAGATGAATAAAATTGATAAACCTCCAGCAAAGTTAATTAAGAAGACACAATTACCAATATCAGGGATGAGAGAGATGATGGTACTCTAGGTTCTATTCATATTGAAAGGATCGTATGAGTAACTTTATGCCAATCAATTCAACAATTTTATTTTATTTTATTTTATTTTATTTTATTTTATTTTTGAGACAGAGTCTCACTGTGTCACCCTCGGTAGAGTGCTGTAGTGTCACAGCTCACAGCAATCTTAAACTCTCAGGCTGCAGCAATTCTCTTGCCTTAGCCTTGCAATTAGCTGGGACTACAGGCGCCTGCCACAATGCCCAGCTATTTTTTGTTGCATTTGTGGTTGTTGTTTAGCTGGCCCAGGCTGGTTTTGAACCCATCAACCTTGGTGTATGTGGCTGGCACTGTAACCACTGTGCTATGGGCACTGAGCCCAATTCAACAGTTTTAGATGAAATGGAAAAATTTCTTAAAAGACACATATTACCGGCTCGGTGCCTATAGCTCAACCGGCTAAGGCGCCAGCCATGTACACCTAAGGTGGCGGGTTCGAATCCCCAGCC